TCACAGGTAAAGAGTGTTATAATGTTAATAGTTAAATAGTGTTATAGTGTTAATAGTTAAAATAGTTAATAGTGTTATAAGTGTGTTAAGTAGTTAAATAGTGTTATAGTGTTATAGTTAAATAGTGTTATAGTGTTTATAGTATAGTGTTATAAATAGTGTGTTAGTGTGTTATAGTGTTAAGTTAGTGTTATATATGTTAATAGTTAAGTGTGTAAATGAGCTGGTGTATATGTTGGAGCTGCTCTGGTTGTTCTGTCGTGTGCTGTAGGAGCGGCATCTGTGTTCATGTCTCTTATTGTAGTTTTACTGACGTTGTTGGTCTGGGTGTGAGCGGCGTGTTACGTTGTGTTGTTGCGTAAAGTTTGCGCTTGGCTGTTCATTGTGCTCTGACCCATACTGTTCAGCCAATAGTAACCAAAATGTCTGTTTCTGGTATTTGTTATAATACTACAGCCTATATATATAATACATATATTATTCATAAATATATATTTATAATTTTGCCCTTGGTGCCCCTCCCAAAAATTACACCATCAGCCGCCACTGGTCCTGGTTTAGTCCTGGTTTAGTCCTGGTTTAGTCCTGGTTTAGTCCTGGTTTAGTCCTGGTTTAGTCCTGGTTTAGTCGTGGTCCCTCAAGTCTCAGGTCTCTATAGGACAGGACTCACTGCAGCCCTGGTGCTGTCCGACGCGTGGTTATTTCTAGTTCAGAGGTGTTTTTGACGAGAGGCTGTTGTTTAATGTTTACAACCAGTGTCAGGCCTTATTGTTTTTTAATAAACCTCAACCTTTTATTAATATTGTCTTGTGTTGTATCGTCTACCACACAACAACTATTGCAGCTAATAATAATAATAATATTCATAATAATAATGATAATAATAACAACAACACATAATTAGCCTAATACTGTTGAAGAAAAACATGTTTGAAGCATGTCTGCTTTGTATGACTCCACCGCGTTAAAATATTTCTCAAATGGCAGTGCCCCCCGCTGGTGACCCATGCCCCTCCAGTAGATGTGCTCAGACGCCGACTCTGACTATAATGTGTGTAGATATACTTGATTGTATGTACAATGTGTGTACAAAAATCATGGATTACATATAAAACTGAAATTTTATTAAATTATTCCAGTGGTTTGAAAACTGTAACTACAAATATTTGAGTTGATCTGAATGAGCACTTTGAATTCAGCTGTTATCAAAAAGTACAAGTAGCAAACCATCCAACCTTTTAAGTTCTGGAAGACTGTGACTTTTAAGTTCATCAACTTAAAATATTTGAGGCAGTCCCTTGCCCCAGTTTTTTTTTGTTTTTTTTTTTGGAGTTCTGGTAACTTATTCGGGTTTACAGTGTAGTCTGAACGGTCAGGTCACATTCATCCCACCTACACGTCAGGCTCAGAGTCTCGTCAATGGAGCGAAAGTGAGGTGATGTTTATTAATATTTGGGGGGATTCAATCAATCAATCAAACTTTATTAGTAAAGCGCTTTTCATACAAAAATGTAACACAAAGTGCTTCACAGTGATTAAAAACAGTCCCACATTTCCATCCATCCACCCACTTACCCAACCCCCACAGCTGCCCGACTCCACACAACCAAACAACCCAGACACACACACACACACACACACTAACATGCTAAAATACATAAAACCGCACATAGTAAAATGTGAGGCTGAATACAGTCAAACCAGTTGAGAAACACCATCAGAGGAGCCGTCTGCACCAGGAGCAGAGAGACGTCCACCTCCACCAGGAACCACCACAGGAGCCAGGGGAGAGACGAAGCCCAAAGCACCAACCCTCCACCAGGAGCAGGACAGACCCAGCAGCCACAGCCGACCTCCGCTCCTGACGCAGAGGCTCCTACAGAGGAAACACTGGAAATCCTAAAAAATATGCCTAAAATAAATAAATATAATAAAATGAATACAACAGAAACAGGTAAAAGTATAAGATTTCTGTATTCAGGACAAATTGAAGGTGGCTTCTGAAATGATCGCCAAAGAAATGGAACTGGAGTTGTGTTTTGTTTCATTCACACATGTTTAACACACAAACCCTGCATGTTTAGGCTGTATTCTCCTCTCAAACAGATAACACTCTGTTCCACCTTGTGATGTCATGTGGCAATACGGGAATTCCACACAATTTCACTAAAATCATTAGCAGTGTGCAAAAATAATGAAATATCTACATGTCATATCGCTTAATGTGATGATACAGTATCGATATCGAGGGCTGCTGTAAAAGAGTATTTTTTGGTGTGTTTTACTTAATTATTTTGTTACAGCTCTACAGTTTTGTCGCTTGTTCAGAGGAAGAAAACTAATTTAAGAGACACGTTTGACATTTTCACTGTTTTGATGATTAAACTGTTTGTGTTTCATATGAACTTTGCACAAGAAGTGGTTTAACAAAGACTTTTAGTAGCACAGCCATGATTTAGCCTTTATTTTTTTATTGAACCGTATCGAATTGTTTTGAAATATATCGTATCGAATCAAAAGTGCACTGTATAGAGATATGTATCGCATCGTGGCCTGTGCATCGAGGTATGTATCATATCAGCAACTTCTAAATGATACCCAGCTCGAAGAATCATTTGAATGATTTTAGTCCTGGAATCGCCGATCTCTACTGAACTAAAGGGAAAAGGTTTATGCTTCATGACATCACAAGGTGGAGCAGAGCATTTTGAGCTTTGGAGATGATAAAAGCGGGTGGCCCGAACTCGAAAACGTTCTTGAAGATGCGGACACCTGCGGCTTATATTGAGGTGCAGAATATCTTTATGTACACTTTTAAAATTTAAGTTAAGGTGCGCTCAATAGTCCAGAAATTACGGTAATTACTCAAACACTTGTGAATGAAACAAAACACAACTCCAGGTCTGTTTTTGAGGCGGTGACAACATTCTAACGTGACTTAAAGCTCACAAGAGTCAATTTTGCTTCATATAGGACCTTTAACTTTGCCCCTGATGCCCTTCCAGATCTCTGTCAGTTTTGATGTGTGAGAGGAGAGAAGCCAGAGCCGCGGCGCTGGGTTAAAACCAATGCAGCGCTGTCACTACATGAAATATGGAGCCCTCATAAACAAACAGTCGACCACAAGGGGCACTCTCGCTCCTGGAGATTAGATTACACACAGCAATGCATCGTGGGATTGATCCGTCTGGGAATATTGGAGAAACATGAGAAATATGGCCATAACTACAGCTCAGGTCCATCTGTTTAATGACCAGGAACTGTTTCTGTGTTTTATATACAGGGGATTTTAATGGGTACTTTAATCGGGGAGTGGGGGGATGGGTGACAAAGTGGTAGTAGTGAAGTACTGTACATGGGTGAAGGTACTTTCTTAAACAGGACTTTAATACGTTTACCTTGGTGGATTTTCATGCGGTGCTTTTGTATTTTTATTTATTTTTTTCTTCCTTTTTCTGTACATTGCTTGGACTTAATAACTGGACCTGATTAAAAATAATAATAGTAAAACAAAAATAAAAATGTAAAATTAAAAAAAGAAAGAAAATTGGAGAATGAAGTACTAAACCAGGACTAAACCAGGACTGAAGCAGGACTGAAGCAGGACTGAACCAGGTCTAAACCAGGACTAAACCAGGACTAAACCAGGATTGAACCAGGACTGAACCAGGACTAAAATTATCTTAACCAGGACTGAACCAGTACTAAACCAGGACTAATCAGGACTAATCTCACCTCTGGGCCTGTCCCGACACTCAGTCCAGGTTCATTTCTGGTTTAGTCCTGTTTTAGTCCTGGTTCAGTGCTGGTTCAGTCCTGGTCCCCACAGGTCAGTATAGGACAGTACTGTAGCTATTGTACAAATAAAATAAATGGAGCTCAGTCAAACAGGAGGAGCTCAGAGTAGAGCTGCTGCTCCTCCACGTCTAGAGGAGCCAGCTGAGGGGGCTCGGATGTCTCACGGATGTAGACCCAGGACACACTGGAGGGATGATGATTATGTTTATATGATGAGGGTCTCAACAGAAGACGCAAAAGTGGCGTCGCGTCTTCATTTTTTATTTTGCGTTTAGACGAGCGTTTTCAGGAGGAAATCTGCGTGCACACGGTGACGCAAAAGTGTGTGGAATTTGATTGGGGATGCAGGCAGGCGGCTCGGTGGTGACGCTCGGTGGTGACATATGTGACGTAAACACGTATGCAGTGTGAGCAGATCTGACCAGAGTTTTGTGTCTTGGGCAGTGTAGATGGAAACACTACAGTGTTTACACTACAGCCGTATATTTATATTTATATTTAATTATTATATTAATATTTTATCATTTTCACCTGCAAGCATTCTCATGTAAACAGGCCCTATGTCTCTCGGCTGACCTGAAAATGCTTCAGGAGCTGGAGGAAGTGTTCGGGGTGAAGGAAGTCTGGGAGTCCCTGCTTAGACTGCTTCCCCTGCGACCCGGCTATGGATAAGAAAATGGATAGATGGATGTATTGTATAAGCATGTTGGTTGTTGTTGATTTACAGTGATGCCAAAACCCCACAATGACCCCTGAAAGTTCTGAAAACACTTAGGATGCTCTGAAAACACAAGTACGTGAGGAAGAACCATTGCAAACCTTTCAAAACGAACAAGGTCTGGGTTTGTTTTTAAGCCGGTTAAAATAAGATAGAGTTAGTTATAATCTGAGTTGGTCTCCCCTGAAATACTTCTGAGCCCATGTTCCAAAAATAATCTCGATGAAAGATTAGCCTAGCCCTTAGCCTGCTCCCACACTGCCTTTATTACCCCCCTGACCCTCCTCCTCCTCCTCCTCCTCCTCCTCTGCTGCCCCCTGCCTCCGTCGCCCCTCCCCTCCCAGCACATATCATTTCGCTGGCCTCTCTCTCCTCCTCCTCTTCCTCCTCTCTCTTCGGTTTCCCCTCCTCCACCTCTCTCTCCTCTCTCCTCCGTCGCTGTATAAGAGCCCTCCCTCGTTCCGCACCTCGCTCACACGCGTTGTGCTTTCGGGACAGGAGCCGGACCGGACTGGGGAATCGGGGGATTACATTGTCTAAGAATCAGTGTAAATAATCTGGATTTGGCCTCGCAGAGGTACGGTTCATTCTGAAATACTTGGCCTGTGCAGTAGATAGAGACTTTTAGACACTCTTTCATCTAGAATAAGTATAAAGTGTTAAAATATTTGACTTTTTTGGTTAAATCTGCTGTTTATTATTGTTCATGTACTGTCATACTGTACTCAGCTTTTAGTTAAAACTTATTATTTCACATTATCTTGTATTTTCACTTTAAATATCCTCTTTTTTTTTTTTTTTTTTTTATCTTTGTGTTTAATCTCTCGCTTTTGTTGCATTATTTTTTCATTTGGATGCTGTTCATTCACACTTTGCTGTTGCAACATTAAAATTGAAATTGGAAGTGTGATATGTAAAGGTCAAGTTATATTTTTCCATTTAGAAATGTTTTTTTTTTTTGTTTTTTAATTTTCAGAATCTTCAGAAACAAGGTATATCTGAAAGAAGAAAATAAAATAAATAAATAAATAAATAAAAATAAAATGAAAATAACAATTTCAATTTTGATATCTTTTTTTTTTTTTTCTTTTTTTTGGCATTATTTTTTCATCTGGATGCGGTTCATACTTTGCTGTTGCAACACTGAAATTGAAAGTGCAATATGTGTTATATTTTTACATTTAAAGAGTTTTTTTTTTTTTTTTTTTTATTAACTTTTTTAAACTCTTGATTTTCATAATTTTCAAAAACAAGGTATAACCGAAAGAAGAAAAGAAAAATATATATATATATATATATTTCAATTTTATCTTGCTTTTTTTTTTTTTTTTCTGTTTGCTGTTCCTACTTTGCTGTTGCAACGTTGAAATTGAAAGTGCGATATGTAAAGGTCCTGTTATATTTCTGCATTTAGAAACTTATTTATTTATTTATTTTTTAATCTTTTTTTAAGCTATTTATTTTCAGAATCTTCAGAAATGAGGTATAACCAAAAGCAGAAAAGAAAATAATAATAATAATAAAAAATAAAAATACATTTCCATTTGTTTGTTTTTTTTAATTACAATTTGCACGCTGCGTCTGTGAGACCTTCTTGTGTGTAATGTGACGTTAGAGCTGTAATCTTACTCCATCAATTTGAAATACTTTGCGAGTTTGAATTTCACTTTATTTGTAATTTTATCTGATTCTCAAAACAGTTGTTTTCTTGATTAACTTAAGTTAGATAAGAAGTCTTCCCACAGACAGATCATGACTCTGTAGACTGGAATTGTAATATTTATTGTGTAATTATTGTGTTAGAACCTTTTTCCTGTGGTATGTTGAAAAAATTATATTTATTTAAAGGCCTTATATCACACAAAATTGTCCCTTTTGAGCTTTAAGACGTGTTTAATTTTGTTACCTCCTCAAAAACAGACCTGGAGTTGTGTTTTGTTTATTTTATTATTAGTTTGTCTACATCTCCAAGGCTCAAAATGCTCTGCTCCACCTTGTGATGTCATGAAGTGGTAGTTTTCACATTGACATTTACCTTTAGTTCAGTAGAGATCGGCAATTTAAGGGCTAAAAGCGTCCAAATGATTCTAGTGAAGGTGTGTGGAGTTTAAAAACACACTGGAGCACTTCCCGTATCACCGCGTGACATCACAAGGTGGATTTCATGCGAGTGTTTTTTCAGTTTGAGAAAAGAACTCAGCCTAAACACGCAGGGCCCTTTTAATTAACGAACACAAAAAAAGTCGCGTTAATTAAGTGAGATCATTTGTCGAGGGACAGAAAGGAGAGTTGCCAGTTCAATTCCCACCTGAGCACATGGTGATAAATTCAGCTTGAATTGTCGTGGGATCAGTTCACCGCTGAAACGGTTTAAGACTGGACCTGATGAAAAAAATAATAAATTAATAAAAAAAAAAAAAAAAAAAAAACATTAAAAAAAGAAAGAATATTGGAACCAAAGTGAACGAGGTCTAAACCATGACTAAACCAGAACTGAACCAGGACTAATCAGGACTAATCTCACCTCTGGGCCGATCCTGACACTCAGTCCTGGTTCAGTCCTGTTTTAGTCCTGATTTAGTCCTAGTTCAGTCCTGGTTTAATCCTCCTGGTTTAGTCCTGGTTTACTCCTGGTTTAGTTCTGGTTTAGTCCTGGTTCAGTCCTGGTTCAGGCCTTGTTTAGGCCTGGTTTAGTCCTGGTTTAGTCCTCCTGATTTTGTCCTGGTTTAGTCCTGGTTACTCCTGGTTTAGTCCTGGTTTAGTCCTGGTTACTCTTAGTTTAATCCTGGTTTAGTCCTAGTTCAGTCCTGGTTCAGACCTTGTTTAGTCCTGGTTTAGTCCTCCTGGTTTTGTCCTGGTTTGGTCCTGGTTACTCCTGGTTTAATCCTGGTTTAGTCCTGGTTCAGTCCTGGTTTAGTCCTGGTTCAGTCCTGTTTCAGACCTTGTTTAGTCCTGGTTTAGTCCTCCTGGTTTTGTCCTGGTTTAGTCCTGGTTTTGTCCTGGTTTTGTCCTGGTTTAGTCCTGGTTTAGTCCTGGTTTCCTGGTTTATCCTGGTTTAGTCCTGTTCAGTCCTGTTTCAGACCTTGTTTAGTCCTGGTTTAGTCCTCCTGGTTTAGTCCTGGTTTAGTCCTGGTTTTGTCCTGGTTTTGTCCTGGTTTAGTCCTGGTTTAGTCCTGGTTACTCCTGGTTTAATCCTGGTTTAGTCCTAGTTCAGTCCTGTTTCAGACCTGTTTAGTCCTGGTTAGTCCTGGTTTGTCCTGGTTTAGTCCTGGTTTTGTCCTGGTTTAGTCCTGGTTTAGTCCTGGTTTAGTCCTGGTCGACACTGATCCCACACAACAATTCAGCTTGAAGTGTTGTCGTGTTCTGTCAGTGGATTTACAAAATTTATTTAGACAACAAAAATAACAAAATAAAAAAATAAAAATAAAATAAAATAAAATGATAAAAAACTAAATTAAGCCATGATGAAACAAACAAAACAAAAACAAACTGATTTTTGAGCAGTCCAATTCTTTTAGAGCTGACTTCTTACATGCACTATACTTGATTTCTACTGTTTTACTAACTAACATGCTAACGTGCACTTCCTGATTATCAAATACATAAACAAAATACATGGGAAATCAGGTTTAAAGGCGCATTGTGTAACTTTTCTCCATGGAGATGTTATTGTTTTGTCTGGAATGTTTCACAGTATGACATTAAACCTTTTTATCTTCATGGAGACCAAAACGAGACCAAGTTACTGGACGGATCTGTGGAGAGGCGACCCCACTCAATGGAAAAAACTGATAATGGCCATTTCCTGTTTTCGTGACTTAAACTGCGATGCCGGACTGAACCAGGACTAAAACAGGACTGAACCAGGACTAAACCAGAACTAAACCAGAACTAAACCAGAACTAAAACAGGACTGAACCAGGACTAAAACAGGACTGAAACAGGACTGAAACAGGACTAAAACAGGGACTAAAACAGGACTAAACCAGGACTAAAACAGGACTGAACCATAAAACTAGGACTGAAACCAGGACTAAAACAGGACTGAACCAGGACTAAAACAGGACTAGGACTAAAGGACTGAACCAGGACTAGACTAAAACAGGACTGAACCAGGACTAAACAGGACTGAAAACCAGGACTGAAAACCAGGACTAAAACAGGACTGAACCAGGACTAAAACTAAACAGGACTAAACCAGGACTAAACCAGGACTAAACCAGGACTAAACCAGGACTAAACCAGGACTAAACCAGGACTAAACCAGGACTAAAACAAGACTAAACCAGGACTGAACCAGGACTGTCGGGACGGCCCGGAGTTGCGCCCACATAGACTGTCGGGTGATCAGGACTGAGACCAGGACCAGACCAGGACTGAGACAGGGACTGAGAAAGGGACCGGGACTAAGACTAGGAATGAGACCGGTTTAGTTCTGGTTTAGTCCCGGTTTTTCGTCATTTTTTCCATTCTTCATTTAAACACAAAATCGAAAACTGAAAAAAAACGAATCATTATCCATTTTTTCATTTTGGGTTTGGAGACAAATAATGAAGAAAATTGATGTTTTTTCATTTTCTTATTTTTGGTTTTAATATGAAAAACGAATGAACGAATGATACACGAATTCCACCCACAGTCAGAACGCACTTTTTTCTCACATTCATTCAATTACAGCCAAAAATGCTAAGATAAATATATGGTCAGAGCTGTTTAATGTCGAATCGAAAAGTTACACAGTGCACCTTTAAAGCCTTTATTCTCTGCTTTCTCTCCTCAGACCGCAGTGTTTTGTGACTCTTGACCTTCTCTGAATCTCCTCGCTTCTCCACCTCCTCCAGAAGCTCCATCGTGCCCCAGCGAGAAGCACCATGAGCCAGTACAGCGTGACCCTGAACGGCCCTGCCCCCTGGGGCTTTAGACTGGCGGGGGGAAAGGACTTCAACCTGCCCCTCTCCATCTCCAGGGTAAGACGCAGACACACACACACACACACACACACATGCACACACACACACACACACACATGCACACACACACACACACACACACACACACACACACACACACACACACACACACACACACACACACACACACACACACACGGGTGCGCTGTTTGCACTGGGGATTCTCATGGATTTGAAATAATAATAATAATAATTCATCAGACTTAGACTACACTGAAACGAATCACCGTATCAGAAACTATTTGCATCCAGATATGTCGTTTCTGTGTCCGTTAGCCTTCTCTATCCACACAGCTTTGAGCATATTTGTTTACTTGCATAAACTGAGCCCTCAAAAAACAGCTCGCTCCTTGTGCGCTGATGTGGTTCAGCTTCTGTCGGACTAAAGGACATGATTCAGTGGAATATGAGTGTTCTTTCTGTGACAGAGGGGTGTTCTGCTGATGGTGAGTCTGTTCTTTGCTTCTATCGCGTTGGACAGGGGTGTCAAACTCATTTTGGTCCGGGGGCCGTATCCAACCTACTTTGATCCCAAAGGGGCCGGATCAGAAAACTCATGTCATATAAACCCCAAAAATAACAATAAGTTCAAATATTTGTGCAGAGAAACGCAAATCTATTACAGAAATCTTTTTTAATTGATGAACTCTTTCTTATTATAATATTATAATATTATGAACAACCTGAAACTTTAAGAAAAATTCAATTTCAACACAATGTTTTAACAATAACTTGAATGCAAACAGGAATAAGTCAATTTTTCTTGGAAAATCCTGCACTCGGCTCCACTTTTCTCATTTTGGACATTTTGTTGATGAGGGTGTCACGGTCAACAGTCAAAACGATCGTCCTTTAAGAGCGTTTGGAAAGAGACAAGTCTTCATTTGTGCTGCTCTGGTGGGAGGGGCCACGTACAGAGGTGCTGGAGATGCTGCTATGCTAAGCACCACAGAAAATTACCAATATTTTAATAGAAAAAATAATAAAAATATTTTAGTAGAAAATCACCCAAGGGCCACATTAAAGGTTTTGGAGGGCCGGATCTGGACCCCGGGCCTTATGTTTGACACCTGTGGCGTTGGAGATGGTTCATGTTAAACTTTTCAGAGATTACACGTCTGCAGGTCGAACACACAGATCGTATATATGAATGGACATATATTCTAGCCTTACTTCGCGGCGCATAGACGTACGTCAGTGTATCAGCGTTTTCAGGCGTCCACACAGTGCCGACTCAGTTGAACTTCGTGGGACCTGGAGGCACCAGATCGTTCCGTCTCTGGAGCTGTTTTCCATCGGATTAGTGTGGACGAACACTGCATCCACAACGAAAACGACTCGAATATGAACTAGTGTGGACGGGGCTTTATATACAGTCAATATGTCGCAGTTCACCTTTCGCTGTCTCACTGTTTTGCGGATGTTTTTTAGTTCAATTTTGCATGCCTTTTTTTTTTTTTTTTTTACAGTGTATGAACATGCATTGTGTTCCTCTCTCTGCGTCCTGGGACTGTAGACCATTGTCAATCAATCTCCTCTGTGCCGTGTTTCCTGTACAGTACAGAATGTGTTCAGTTGCCAAATTTACATAAATGTTCGACCTCTAACAGTGTGATTCTGAAGTGCTGTGTGTTTACAAATTTTCTCCCCGACAAAACCCACAATGTCGACGAAACGTTCTGCACCCACAAAGGCTCCTGCGCTTGCATCCTGTCTGAGAAAAGTGTATAAAGTGTGTGGTGAGGGGTTTTACAGCCTTAAAACAGATATAATCACTGTCAAATATAAAGCTGACTACTTCGTGGATTTTTAGAACGTAACCCCCGCGATAATCGAGGGGCCAGTGTAGTGCTTTTTGGATGCTTTACAAACAAATACGAAGCAAGAAAAAATTTGAATTTGTTGAGTATTATAGTTATAGTTATGACTTTCTTTGACCTATTATGAATTCTTTTTTTTTTTTTGTTTGGACGTGAATCAACAAAGTGTTTCGGTAGAGTTTGTACTAAAAAGCTTAAATTAATGTTTTGGAAAATTCAAACTGAATCTGTTTCTTAAACCTTTGGAGCACAGACAATTGGCTGGACTCTTTGTGAAACTGAGACTCTGGAGTTTTGCCTCTGTTGTCCTCTGACTGTCTCTGCACTGTCAGTTTATGGCCTGTTTACACGAGAACACTGGCGGGTAAAAATCGACAAAATATTGTATCGGAAGTGACTTTCGTTTAGACGGTGATGGTTTTGTTGGGGCTTAAAAACGCAAAAATCTGAAACCACTGTCCAGAGTGTAAAAGTTGACACAACTGGTCAGATCTGCTCACGTCATGTACATGTTTATGTCACATACACAGTGTCGGGGAGTAACGGATTACATGTACCGGAGTTACTGTATTCAGTTACAGTTACTGTTTCAGTGAGTGGTAATTGGATTACAGTTACTTTGTTGAAATAAGTGGATTACACGGCGGTATTTTCCTGTTTTTACATTTTGGGCTATATCCTTTTTTTTTTTTTTTTCTCATACTTCCACTCATTGCTGGACACTAAACCAGGTCTAAACCAGGTCTAAACTAGGTCTAAACTAAGTCTAAATCAGGTCTAAACCAGGTCTAAAACAGGTCTAAACCAGGTCTAAAACCAGGACTAAACCAGGACTAAAACCAGGTCTAAACCAGGACTAAAACCAGGTCTAAACCAGGACTAAACCAGATCTAAACCAGGACTAAACCAGGATTAAACCAGGATTAAACCAGGACTAAACCAGGGCTAAACCAGGTCTAAACCAGGACTAAACCAGGTCTAAACCAGGACTAACCAGGTAAACCAGGAAAACTAAAACCAGGACTAAAACCAGGTCTAAACCAGGACTAAACCAGGACTAAAACCAGGACTAAACCAGGACTAAAACCAGGTCTAAACCAGGACTAAACCAGGACTAAAACCAGGTCTAAACCAGGACTAAACCAGGACTAAACCAGGTCTAAACCAGGTCTAAACCAGGTCTAAACCAGGATTTAACAGGATTTAACCATGCTGTGCGGACGTGTCTCCTCTTCTATCAGTAATACTTTTTAATATGGTTGAGGAAAGTCGGGGCTTTTCATTGTCTTTTAGCAGATAAAACATCTTATATTACAAAATCCTCGTCTCTGCTTCTCTACAATAAATCAAGTAATCCAAAGTATTCAGATTACAGTAATTTAATGGATTACATTACAAACTACATTTTGGGCTATGTAATCTGTAATCTGTAGGGGAATACATCACCATACATCACCACCAATCGATTTCCACACCCCTTTTCACGCAGATTTCCTCCTGAAAACTCTTGTCTAAACATGGAATAAAAAGACTCTACGCCACTTTTACGTCTTCTGTTCAGACCGTCATCATATAAACTTAGACATAGACTCTGGAGTTTTACCTCATTTGAATCTGGAACAACTTCTACACAGAGGAAAGTCGGATCATGTAAGTTCGGGTGTAGCTGGTGTCGCTGGGGATGATCTGAGAGAAAGAAGATGGAGCATTTGTCGGGTTTTGACAATCCCCAGGTCAAAGCTGCAGCAGATCTCACTAAACATGAGATTTATTGACTAACGAGGCAAACGAGTCCAGGCCAAATTCATATAATATCCCCATTCTTTTTTTTTTATTCTGTGGTTTGGAGTCGAAACTGGTCCAGATTCCTCTCAGAATGGTTGATTTGACTGAAAATAAGTGGGTTACAGATTTCCATTAAGGTTTTACATGTCCACAAGATTGATCGTTCTTTTTATCACAAGCTGGACAAACAGAAATGAATGAAGAAAAAGTAGAAGTTCACGATTTTTTGCGAGAAAAACTCCAGCTAGTTAGGGTTCTCTTCTGATGGTCCAAAGCAGTGATGGTTTAGGAGAAAGCCAGTGCCAAACCAACCAAAACAAACACGAAGAAGCCGATAAACTTCATCTTATTTGATCAAAAACGAAAAACCCGGAGAGGAAAAGCATAAAACATATCACACAATTAAGAGAATAAAGAGAGAAGACGTAAAGAAAACCAACCAATATTAATTCATAATAGTTGTGTTACATAAATAAATGAAATGCAATGACATTTCCATAAAACAAGCAGGTGCCAGACCCATAACCGAAAAGTTACATCGTGCACCTTGAAGTAAAAGTACAGATAGGAGCAAATAAAATACTTGAATGTCAAAATCGAGTACTTCTTCCACCACTGTACAATGGAGATTATCTGTTGGCAATTACACAAAATGTCCAGCGAATAATTCGTATAATAATTACATCACGCACAGGGAAGATGGCAGCATCAAAACAAAAATACACAGAAAAAAACAAAAACAAACACACTGAACAAAATACCTCTGATGGATATCGGAACATCTCACAGCCACAAACTCTCCGTCGTAAGAACATTATTTGACAGAACCAACATTATAACAGATGAACAAAACAAACAAGGGGAAGATCGACACATCCACAACGCTCTGAAGCAACGCCAATAAACAAAATGGGCAATAAACAAAGGAAAACAACAGGTCAGAGAGAAAGAAAAACAGAACAAGAAAAACAAGAATAAATTTCACTTCATAGAAAGCGTCTGACCTCGCTCGACGGTAGACGGTAGACTTTTTTTACCTAACCTAAATCAGTTGAGCGACAAGTCACAGCAACATCACGTGACTCTAGTAGAAACTGTCAGGTCTGAAAACAAATTCTTGGTCTGAAATGTGTGAAGAATCCCTCAGTCGTCCAGCTAGAATCCATGGCGAGGAGAAAATTCAGTTTGTCGACTGGACAAAAGTTAGTTTGGTTGAAGACGTTTCTGGATCAGTTCTGGAACTGAAGAAGCAGCTTGGACGAGCTGCGAAACGTCTTCTACCAAACTAACTTTTGTCCAGTTAATACCTCTTATGGACATCGGAACATCCCAAAGCCACGAACTCTCCGTCGTAAGAACATTATTTGACAGAACCAACATTATAACAGATGA